TCAAACTAGTGTGAAAGTGATAATGATGATGCATGATAGTAATGATATTGATGATGATGCGTTGAGAGCACATACTGTACCAGTGGCTTAGTTTCTCGTAGCATTTGATTGACCCAGTATCCCCGTATTCGCTCATACGCATTGTAGGGGTAGGGGGTAGAACCCAAAAGAACATTGAGAGGCTCAGACCAGCATCGGGGAGGGGGTGCCATTGCCCCCCTCCTCACTCCCACGAAGGGATTCAAGGTGACACGCTGGCGTTGGCTACGCATGGCGCATGTAAGACGAAATTGGCGGTAAATTCCGAACCCGCCGAGCACCAATGGGGAATCTCCGTTGACGATTGATAATCGAACGGCAAACTGTTGGTTGAATAATTTTCCTGCGGCCGAACGTGCCCATAATCATCTTCGTCATACAATGGAAGGACTTTAAATTTGAAGTAGCCTGTCCGTGGCGAGGATCTCCGCCTTTTGTAAGCTGTGCATAACCCCCGTCGTCCTCCATGAATTCCTGTAACACGTTCCAACACTTAACAATTCTTTAAATAAACTACGTTTGCAGGCTCTGTCGGCATTACATTGTTTTCAGCATGGTCACACCTCTCCATGTCTGCCGAGAAGTAGATCTCCTCGAAAAGCGTCTTCAGTCCTTGTTCGGTGCGCCGTTAAGGCACCGTGGCACGACATTATCTACCACGGGACCCTTCTTTACAGATTATCCAGGATGTTACCAGACGCTTCGTGGTCATGTCTTCACCTTCTTGCCGAAGATGTTGGCGCTGATTGCCCATTTTACGGTTACCGTTCCCCGCTTAATGCCGTTGTAGATGAGTAACCAAGGGCTTTCTGACAGCCCGGCTCAGGTGCTGCAGGTGCCGCATTTTTCGCGGGTTTATGTGGCGGTAAACATTCGTTTCGCACGAGCTAGTATCAAACACTGGCATTTTAGTCAGATCCGCTCGTATTTGCCACACCTGGTGTGTTCTCGGCAGGAGTAATCAATTGCCAACTGTTAATTGAAGAAATGAATTAAATCAGTTTATTAAGTACTTGAATAACTCAGTTCACAGAAAGATTACAAGACGCACTGAGAAAAAGTAAACATTGGTATTTAGACAGATGCTTAAAGCTTTGTTTGCATGAATTTTGGCAAACGGCATGCGTGCCAGTTATCCTAAATTCGCGACTTTGGGAATATAGCATTTAGTGTCATCATTTTGCTGATCGAATGTTCATCAAAAATCGTGTTAATGACGTTACGCTGACAAAATTTAAAGAGTTGAATAACTGGTAAAGGTATATAAATGATAAAGCCATATGAATAAACAAGCTATATAAATAATCAAATTGTATAAGTGATACATCTATAGGGCTCATATAACTATATCAATAATAAAACTATAAATGATGAAGTCATGACAGTGTAACATAACAGTAAAAGCCACAGATATAGCTTTTGCCCCATTTATTTTCATATCATGAGCCTAAGACGACCAGTACGTTTCTAAATTTATCTTGCAATGCTCAGCGGTGTCTCATCTTATAATGCGCTCAAGTGTTAAGCTCCAGCAACCGCAGCCATATCAATGCAGATGGCCACGCCGAAAGCCCATAGCCATTTCAGATCTTCATTTTAAAATCCATAGTCAGCATACTGTGGCCCTTATTCGATGACCCGTAGGGGCTCTCAAAGAGAGCGTTCCACATTTGTGTGAGGGTTTGAGCTGAAGTATCCATCTTTACTTTTATTACAAAGCTTGGCGAATTACAGCGAGTGACTATTCCAACGACGCGTCAGTACTTCCTACATAGGTCAGCACAGAACACGCAACACATGCAAATGAGACGCAACGCCAGCGATACACATACGATGTTATGTCATATTTGACGATGATATTTATAACATTTAACGACCTCTTGGTGCAGTTCACAGCCTTGCCCTACTTATGATCTAAATTCCTCCGGTTTCTGAGTTACACACCCGCGAAAATGGGCAGAGTATTTCAGGGAGAGCATTTCCAGGTCACTTTGGCACTCATGGCGTCAAAATCCCATACTTAAATTCTTGCTATTCTATAATCCATACGGCGATCAAGGCCGATAGAAACGTAATGGTCGCGTCGTTCATATCTGACATTCATGAGCATGATTTCCAGATATAAAGGCTGTTAATTGGCTCTCAATCAATTTTCTACGAGACACGATGACGTCATCACACAATGACGCACCGAGGAGTAAATTTACTGAGCAGAAATCGTGTTGCGCATGACAATCTTTTCTAGTTACGAGGATACGAATAGTTATGCGTGAGCTTGTTGCATCATATTTAGCGTTTGATTCAGCGTCTTCAAATGTGAAACATTCTCTTTAAAGTGGTCCATACACGATGACCCTTAGTGATCCTTAAAGTGACTCTTACTCGATGACCCTTAGTGACCGTTAAAGTGACCCTTACTCGACGGCTCATGGAACACCATACGACGATCTCAAGCTTTATTAGCTTCCAATTAAATGGCCTAGTCCTCAACAGGTGGCTTTCAAACTATCGCGTTATCATGGCACACCTGGGTTAAAGGACAAGGTTCGTTGCCATGGAAACAGCATTTGAGTAAAAAGCTCGGATGCTTGGACCCAGAGAGGAACTGGTATGAAACGCAGGTACTGAAACGTATCGACTGCTTACCGCACAATAAGCGAACGCCTGTCTGAAAGGAAAACGCACGCTTGCCTTTGCACGCGAATGCCTGTTTTAAATCAGCACAGAGGTGGATCCCCGCGCTTTGCGCATGCCCCACTCACCTCCGCTTGCAGGTTAATTACGGGGATTTGCTATTCTGTGGCTTAAGCGACCAATATGTACTTCGTAATGTCCTCCACGGCGACTACTAGTCAACGCATCCGTTGCAGAGCTCTTTTGCGATGACCTCTTCGAACTTCGTCTTTGTCCTCTTCGCGTGGAAACCAGAGGCACATGGTTCGATTCCCCGCGATACCCGCCCTTCCTGCCAGGGTGGGAGGCAGGCGATGCCACATAGCCTAAGCAGCTGAGTGCGTCGTAAAGCCCCAATGACGACGACGCAATGGCCTCCAAGGGTGACATCTCCTTCAATTAAAAAAGTTAGCGGTCCAAATCCGCGGAGAACCCCAATTTTAGATGAGTCTGAGCGAAGCGTTTTTACATGTGGTGCTTGCTTAGCGTCTCAACAAGATTAGCAAAAGTACAGCCCTGGTGTCTGCGATGCCCGTCGAGCATTGCTGAGCCCCAAGCCGTTGTGTTCACCAAGAGATAGGGGCAGCAAACAGTGTCTGGGTTGACAAACGATCCTGTTGTGGCAGTATGTTATGACGTGTTCCCGACAGACTTTTTCTAGAGTTTCCAATTAGCCCTGCAGTTGAAGGATTTTCTTATTCGACACACAGCGTGCAATTTAGTTGATGATGAGCGGATTGAGTTAAAGAAGGATCTTCATTCTTCGCGTAGTTATAAGTTATATGCCAAAACCACACCTGATTTTACCAGAATTTCGGGGTTTTTCCCTGCCAGGCAGGTTTCTGCCATCCAGTAACGAAGTCTTTTTTGAGTGCCTAACTAAATCTGGTCCACCTGGGTGCGTTTTTTCGCTAGCAAACACGGATTGGCCAGAGGCGAAGGGGAAGACCTACAGGTAGAAGGCGTATGGGATATCTTTTGAGTCTGTTTGTCCATGCACCATGCAACGCTACAACTGAAATGATATTCTTGAAGGAGCGCAGCCAGAATTCTCTTAAGGGGAAGTGGCTCGGTAAGTACGCAATCACACGACTTTTGGATTTCAATCGTGAGCCATTTATGGTGAAACTTAAACAAAAACCTGGGCCTTAAAAGGGGAGGGCATCGTCCCCCACCCCTCCTCTTGGTTTGCCTCCGTATTTTTGTTCGTCATTGCCACTTAGGAGATAACCAAGGCTGTTTCAAAATGCTGCTTTCCAATGCCGTCTTGGGTTTGGGGACGGAACGACAGCTATTCTCCTGCTACCGTTACTTGCAAACACTTCTTCCTTCAACCGTACACATGTCAAGAGGCCTGCAAAAAGTCGCAGTCAATGAACGAATAGTTCCCACAGGTGTCACAATTTCCTCGGCACAAGATCAAAGGTGTGTGACACTTGAATATACATAGTCAGCCTGGGTTCAGCTTTGGAAAGGGGAAAGAGAGAGCTTAGGCGTTGTCTTACGGACAACAAAACATTTTGCACTACACACAGAAGATGAAGGATGAACAGAAATTGAAGAACATGGCAGATAAATCTGAACAGATGATTCGCTTGACAAACTCGACGAGGGAAAACAGCTCAGGCAACACAGCAAATAAAGACAACGAAGAGCAAATTAATCCTGGTGTGTAGCTCATGTCTTTTGACAGTGCGCAGGCAAACAGATGCATTGGTGCAACATTTCAAGACGCAACGCAATGCATAGGTACAAAGCATAGATACAATAAGCACGACTCATAGATGCAGATTTTCACTGGGAAATAACCTCATCCATACCAAAGGCATGGAGACAGACATAACACACCTTGAATTAAAAAACCGGAGGAAGGGGGGCCAAGGATCACATTTGGACAGGTGTAATGGAATTGCAAAAAACAGCCAAGTTGATATAAAAAACCGTCGACGCAACGCGCACCTGTCGACTGAAAACACCTGAAGCGCCGAATGTCAGGCAGCCTTACGCCGTTCTAAAACACTCGCCTCGTAAAAAAAATCCCCCGCTACCTGCACAACTCGGCATCTCCGGCGCGGAGGTGCCGCGGTGGCGTCGGCACGTTCGTCGGCGCGAGCGGGCGCGCGCGCGCCGCCTCGGAAGCTCTAGCACCCTCCCACTTCAGACGGTGCCGCGGCCGCCGCTACCTGCCGGCATCTGAGGCGGCCGCTGATTGGTCGGCACGTGGGTAGACTCGCCGCGCGCGCCGCCGGCCGCCGCCGCCGCCGCCCGCGCCAGTGTGCGCGCGCGGGCCGGCGATGTTCGTGGTGCGTGGGTGAACGCGGCTCGTGTGAGCGAGTAGGACCGCGATCGGCGGCGCCATGCCGCACGGCGACGAACAGGGCTCGACCGACGAGGTCAAGGTGTTCAAGCACGAGGAGGACGATGAAGAGAACCTCGGCGCGGAGGACCTGAACGTTGAGGACGGGCTGACGGAGGACAAAAGCAGCCTCATCACCGAGTCGGAGACGGTAGGTCTCCAGCGCCGTCGCGGCGTTGGTCAGAAACTACTCATGCTCAGCTGCCTGGCATCAGCCTTCCGCGCGGCTGTCTTAACCCGCCGTCGGCCGGCGGCCGCGGCGGAGGCGGCGGGGTCTCGCGGCCACCATTTCTGCCTGGAACTGGTTCTGCGGGAGGACCTTGAGTAGTGCGGGTGCACGCCAACGGGCCGGTGCACTGCGCGAGGCTGGTCGGTGACCGCCGGCCCGCGGGCAGCGCTGTTTCCGCTGGTCATCCCACTGCCCGTCGCAGCAGTCTCGCGTTATTTACACAGACACGCTCCTCGCCGACGCCATAAAAAGCGCCGGCCAAAGTTCGCCGCGTGTGCTGCCACGGCGGGCGCCAGCCGACTTCGCCGGGAGTTATGTTGGCGAGCGCTGCCTGGCGGCCACTTGACTGTTTAGGGCTGGGCTGAAGGCGTCTGCCTGGTTCTGACTGACCCGCGTCCTGCCCCCATTTCAGAAAACAACCGATGTCGGCTCTAATCGGGAGAACGAAGGCGGGTCGGCGTTCGGGCCTCTGGGTAAGTCCACCACCCCTCAGGAATGCCTGTTGGGTGCGGGCAACCCGCCACACGTGGCACAGAAAAGCCTAGCGAGAAAAAAGTGCGGGGCATGTCATGGGGTGGGGGGGGGGGGGGGGACGCTGTGTACGTGAGCCGCGGTGCACCGGACGTCGGGCCTGGGAGACGCTATTTTTACACACTCGCCACGGGTCATGTGAAGTTTTACTATTTCAACTCCAGCGCCAACTCAGCTCTGTTTATTGAGTTTCGCCAGTGAAGTGAGCATGGATGCATCTTTTAAGAACCTATCGGCGAGTCAGCTACCAGTAAGGCAAGCGTGGGGGCGGATGCGGAAAGGCGCAAAATATAATTGTCTGGCGAAGTCCAAACGCCCAGGCAAATGAAGTCAAATAACAGGCGCAAAACAATAAAAGCCGGCAAGAACCGACCCCCTTCCCCGTCCCCCAGCGGGACAGTCGCTTTAGCACGCCGGGTTGGTGTCAAAGTGAGCGCCAAACGCGGCAGGAGCGGGGCAGGTCCCCATGTGATCCCGACCCCCATGTAAAGACATCACACCCGAGACACCCAAGGCATGCTTACCATTTGGCTGGCTCATTCAGCCAGATAGAAAACTGACAACACTGAACGACCATCAACGTTAAGGTTCGTTTTCAGACACACATTCAGGTGCACTCGAGATAGAGGGGATGGAGCTGTGTACAGGGCCAGAAGAAAACAAAATAACTGCATAGTTTTTTTAAAAAGCGTTTCCGGCAAAGCGCGCCAGTTAGCGAATCTTCAAGTCACCGGTAATGAAAATTGCTTACGAACGTGTTCTGGCTCTGCCGAATGAGCCAGCGGAATAGGTGATGCGTGGCGCCGAAGAGGTCGTAATTTCCCCGACAAAGTGGGCAAACTGACCTCTGGTGGTCGTGACACAGCGCCGCACGACACGATACAAAGCCATTAGTGCCATTTAAGCGACAGGCTGGCGTAGAATTATCACATTGGTTTGAACCGCTCAGTGTACGTTGTAGCAGGCTGAACATGATAAGGCAAAAACTGTGATTCCAACACGAATCGGGCAAACAGTTGATGCAGTTTAACCGAGTGTACATCTGCTACATTCAGTTATCACATAAGAAGTAGATAGTGTAGTCTCGGGTCCTACGTGCGTGTTGCTTTCAACGTTTTTTGGTCCAAATTCTCTTTGACTGCACATTATTGAGTTTCTCCTCAGGATATTTCAGCGCATTGCCGGCTTCGTTTTACCAGAGCGAACACGAAGTAAGCCATTGTTGACCCGGACTGCGTGAAATGGACAGCTAAATTTCCTGTTCTCCATTCGATACGGGGAGAAACAAAAGCTCGCATTCACCCAAGAACCAGCCGCTTTTCTCCGATTGATACATCGTCCATTGTAAGGAGCATTTAAAAACCGAAGGGCAAATTAATACCCCGCGTGGGGGTTAACAGAGCTGAGCTCGACCAATTAGGCCAAACAATCGCCCTGTGAAATTACCCCCTGTCGTATCTCACAAGCAAGCAATCATACCATGGGAGAAAAAGAAACGGCAGCCAATCGGAGCCAATCGCGGCGAATTCCCCAACGCCGACCCAACGCTCACGGCTACAAAGAGCGCTCGTGTGCGCCTTTGTATAGGAAAAGGCGACTGTCTTGTTTCGAGCTTTTAGGGCTGGGCCCATCGGATTTGCTCGACGAGCAGGGATGAATGAGGCACGACGTGACCGATTTGTCACACTCGCACCTGATCTGTCATACATACCTGTCATACCTGCACCTGCGAACCCTTCGTTGTAACGCTGCGGTATTGGCACACAATTTTGAACTTGGGCGATTTGTTTTGCCGAGGGGGTGGTGCGGTTTGGTGTATGGCTTAAGGTCATCGACCTTCCTGCGGCGCGGAATGCAACGCCCGCAAACTTCCAATTGCACGAGCGGGGAGCGTTATCTCCTACATCGACCGGGTCGAACTGGTGCGTTGCGGCACCACAGTCTGCCTTCTAGAAATAGAGCGTCCAGACAACCTCCCGGGAAAGCCCAGCTCGCGCAGATCGCGAAGCACCTGCGCGTGCTGGCGGGTCATGTCCGCCTCATGAGCGAGCGAGGGTGCGGCGGCGCTTCGCCGTGATTCACCTCGCGCCGGAGGCTGCCGCGGACAGCCATTCGGCGCTGCGATCTCACGCACCCCGCGGGGCTCGCACAATTTACTGCTTTGTGCGTCGATTAATTAATCATCATCTAAAAGGCCTCACGACGTTGGATCTCGGGTCGGGTAGCGTGGCGCTAGCTCGGCTTCGCTCGATATTTATGGAAGTAATTGATTATTTTGGTGTTTTTAGCCGGGCGTTTGACCCGCCCAGTGCCGTAGTGTGTACAGAGGCTCAGTGGTTTTTGTGTGGCCGGAGCCGCCGTGGACCCTAATGGAAAAGTTTGGCAATTAATCAGAGTGGGAGTCTGATCGCCGTCATGTTTATAAGCGTTTGATAACGGGAACCAAACGTTTACCGGCCCGTCGGATTCCCCTCGTCCCCTGGCGGGTAATGCGGGAACCAACCCAGTCCTGGGGTGGCTCGCGAGGCTCCGCTTCAAGCTCCGCTCCTTTGTGGACGGAAAATGGCCTCGGCGGCGACGCGCCCTGAAACATCCAACCTCCACTACCTCCGCTTCTTTCAGAGGACTGGCAGGCATATAACCTAGAGCCGCCATGAAAAAAGTTCGTCGCTGAGGTACTATTTCGATGGATGTAGGTTAATTGTCATTTCAAGTCACTAGCAAAACGAATTTTTGGGCAAGAAGCATGCAAAAGTGCCAAGGATAATTTCGTACCCGTGATTTGTCTCGGGAACCATCTATGATAACAAACGACTTTGTTGGCGAATTAATGCCTGGGCACTGGCAGCTCACCTTATAATGGGGAATGCTGACCGCCTGACCATCCGCGGACCGAGCCGATACAGTGCCACCACCTGGTCAGCGGCTATGCAGGCTCGCTTCGCTCACTCGATGGGCGAATAATCTGGTATCCTTTTTCGCGGGGTATATCTGGATGCTTAGCTGCGTCTTGCTGCGTATGGACGCTTGCAGAGTCATGCGCTCCGCGTGGTTTATAATAAACTCCCAACGAAACCAGTTCTAGCGGCAGCACGCAACCACCTGTTCGGCAAACCAACTGGTAATTTCAAGATCGGAAACCTGGAAACTAGTCGCGCGTGGTGTTCGAGAACATGCTCAAACTGCCGTGAGTCTGCCAAAATGCAGTCGCTTTTCTGCAATCTGAGACTGAACGTGAAAACTCCTTCAGCGCTCAGCACCACGCGTTTCGAAGCGGTTTTCTTTTGGCCTCGGGCGTCGAGGCGCCGGTCTAACGAGACGTGCCCGGCTGTGGTGTCCAGGGTAGAGCGCGGTCGCCGCGGCCGCGCCTGGCGGAGGGCCCTGTCGATGGCACGCCCGAGGTCACCCTGATCGGTGACAGCTGGCGTTCGGTTTTTGCCCTGGACGCTCGACAGGTTAATCGGTGTTTTGTAGCCAGATTTTGTCCATATCATCGTGTAATGTTGTGGGGCAATTAATTTGTGAAGGTGGCGGCTGAAAAATTACGGGCTCCCATGAGAGACGGTGCAGGCTATTGATGGCATTTGTGGGCCTGGTGCGATTGGTATTTTTTTTTTTTTGAAGTTCTGATCATGTGTATTAATTTATGGAGGTACTGCGTATCCTTGACAAATGCATTGTGTTCACTGACAGCCTTTTACTTACAGACTGAAAGCAGGCTGCTCAAGTCAAGCCAGTCGATAATATTTCAACGTTGCTTGCTTGCTTGCCTTGGGCGCGTGGGCACGGGTTTTTATTCTTGCGGATAAGGACTTTGATCCGTCGATTTCCTTTCCTTAAAATGCCACTTAGAGTCTTAGTGACGTATACTACATCAAGCCTGAGACATTTCGACAAGAAGGACGAGACTGGTTGACTGACATCTCGACAAGAGGAGCTGGCCGGCTCTCCGGCATCTGACGTTACCTGTCAGTTGAGTTTTACGCCCAGAGTAAAGCTTACGGCGACGCGGGTGGAATGTCATGTTCCGGTTGCTAAAATTGAATTCGGATACATCATAGGGCTGTCCGACTTTGCATTGGCAAGGCGTCCTGACTTAGGTTTCTCACGCGGTCCAGGTCTAGGGCCTAGGTTTCGCACGCGGTCTAGGTCTAGGGTCTAGGTTTCACACTCGGAGGTATTGTTACGTGTCGCTTTAATTCCGCGTTTTAAAACACTTGAGTGCGTTTTCCAAAGCGCACGCTACGCTACATCCCCGCTTACGGCCACCAAATTCACACCGCCCGCCCGCACACCGCGCGGCGGCAAACGTGACGCGCTCCAAATGCCGGGGACAAATCCGGCGCGGACGCCGCCACCTCATTAGAGGGAGGAATTTAATAACGCGAAGATGACTGGGTGATAGTATTGTTGGCGGCGACGGCCAAGGCCAGGTGGGGCCGATAGTGACCCCACAAAAACCGCGTCCGCGCTAATGACCGCCTCCGCCCGGCCCGCCGTGACCCGAGCGGGGTGCTGCCGGGTATGGGCGGAGCGCAAACAAGGATTTCTCCCGTCGCCTGGCGCAAATCACGCGCGGTGAACAAATAAAAAGCGAGGAGCGCGGTGATTGGTGCGATGGTAATTTGGCGCCAAATGATGCCCGATTGACAAATAAAAAGCGAGGAGCGTGCTGATTGGTGCGATGGCAATTTGTGACGTCATTGACGTCCTGTTTTGGTTACGGGACGCGAACAACAACAGTGTGCGTTGTACTAATGTTGCAGTCCATCCATCGCCGTATTAATAGGGCCGCAGAGCGTGCACAGGAATTAGTTTGGAATCAATGCTCAAGTGTAACAAGACCGTACAAAACAGACGCGAAAGGCCTCCATTGCCGTCACCCAGGGTTCCAGCCCACGTGTATGTGTGATCACTTGCGGCTATGTGATCGCCTCTGCGGAGCTGGGACAGGCATGAGTTGTTGTTTTGTGAACCGCTGACGTCTCCTTTGTGGGGATCGGAAGACTTTATATTTATAGTCCCTCATCGCCCACAGAAGCTGTCTCGAAGTTCTCGTCTCCGTTCACGTAGCTTAAATGCGTACCCCGTGGATGTAGGAACGTACAAAGCTCTGGAAGGCTGGTGCTTTTGCGACATCTTTGCCATGGTTTAATTTTCAGGTTACCAGTTTGCTGCTGTTGGACGTGCCGCGAGGGTCATGCCGGACATGCGCCAGGCGACCAGACGCCTGGTGACCCGATGCTAAGCCAACCTTTCGTGTGACCTGTTGTGTGACCTTGTGTGAGTGACCCCTGCTCCTGGCCTCAGGTCGCCCGTACGAGCCGCTGGCCGACCGGCACCCGTTCAGCTACTTGTACAGCCCATACTCGTCCTACAATGGATCGCTCTCAATGGTAAGCACGTCACGCTGGCGGCCCGGCGGACAGCAAGGGGTGCGTCACGCGGGGTGACGTGTGACGTGGGGTGCGTCGGTGGGTGCAGGCGATGGGTGTATCGCAAAACGAAATTCCACGGGATACATCACACGAGGCATGCCATATGTCACACTAGGTGGTTCGCGCTGGGTTTATCTTTCGGGTGAGTCACACGGGGTATATCACGTTGGGTGCATAGACAAAGCGCGTAACGTGGTTGCACCACTCTGAATGCGGCAAAATAACGTCGCAGACCCGCACCGTTTTCGCCACCACACCGGCAGCCTCCGGCCTTACCACCAACCAACCAACCAACCAACCAACCAACCAACCAACCAACCAACCAACCAACCAACCAACCAACCAACCAACCAACCAACCAACCAACTAGCCAACCAACCAACCAACCAACTAACCGACTACCCAACCAACCAACCAACCACCCAACCAACCAAGCAAACAAGCAACCCGGCATCCCGTTTTTCTGTTTCCTGCAGCTCTCCTGTCAGCGATAAGACAACACTGAAAGGTTGCAACTGGTGGATGTGGGTTGGGATGAATTTTGAACGATGTTACATACTTATGATAAAGCTAGGTGCATCCCGGATAGTGGGCCCTGGTAATTTGATGTTGCCCTGATGATAGTATCAAAGTTGGGGCGGACCGCTGTGCACCTGTTCCACTGTTCCCATGCCTCGCGCGTGCGAAGCCCCGCTTCGCGTCCTAACCGCCCGCCGCCGCCGTCGCGTCCACCGCCGCTTCGCTCGGCCCGTCACTCCCCGTGACGTCATCGCCCGGGTGACGTCACCGGGGGCGCCGGCCGTCCTTGGGCCGCGGGGTTTGATGCGACGCAGACAGCCGTCACCCAGACGAGAGGGACGACATGCAACGGGGACGGCGGAGGTCCTGTCGGCCCGAGGCGGCGGGGTCACCATGAGGACGATCTTGTTCTTAGGAGGACTATTTCGTCTGTAGGAAGTCGTGTTTGTCCTCAGAAAGACGAGTTTGTCTTCATGAGAACGAGCTTGTCGTCTGTGGACGAGTTGTCTTTAGATGTCTTTGGTTGGCATGTCCTTAGGATATTTGTCTTTAGGAAGACGAGTTCGTCCTCAGAAGGACGAGTTTGTTCTCATAAAGGTGCCCCTATCCCCTTTACCTTCAAGGTGCCCCGACCCACCAAAATGGGGTGGGTGGGTAAGGGTGGGGGGGGGGATCAGCCTTTGGCTGCTCCGCCCCTCCCGGTTACAGCGATCCTGGACACTGCAAAGAAAGTATCCGGTTTTTATGACGTCAGAATCTATTTTCGATACCGATCACTTGCAACATGCGGAGTCCCATGGACCCATTTTGCCTCTTCCGGCTACCGTGCGCGGAGTACACAGCACTCTCACACTCTGAGTTTGCCTGAAAACGGCCTCCAAGCACGCTCCGAGGCTGTTCACGCTCCCATTGACGTGTCACGCGAGTGTCATGACACCTCGCTGCCCTCCACCCAGATTGTGTCAAGTTTCGCGAGGCGCTTTCCGAGGCCGCGAAGCCACTGTAGCAGTGCAACGCCTCGGCGTCCGCACCAACCGGTTCATCACCGACGGGCCGCACGCCACCCGGGCTGTCCGCTGCTGCCACTCCGGCATGTCCGGAGCGGGCACGAGGTGTCCGGCCGGCTCGCCAGCTGCTCACGTGCCGAGCTGGCCAGCTGCTCACGCGCCGAGCTGGCCAGCTGCGCTGGCGCTCAGATGACGCCTCCAAGCTGGTCCGTCGCAACCCTACGGTGGGGCGACAGTTCATAATTTCTTCGCGCGGTATCGACAGACGCCATTTAAGTGAATACTTCCGGGATTTTTCAGATCGATGCTCGGAAGCGCCCGGCAGAGTCGATGGAACTGCGCGCGAGGACATTGCGTGAAGTGGAAAATGTAGCAAGGTATTAGGAAGGGCGGCCCACATGAATGCAATAGAGGCAATACTCCTATGCGGCACAAATATTTCAGGTGTATCCACGGACGCAATCCGTCGAATGGTCTTCGCCCGGTTTCGCAGATGCCGCTCAAGCTTGGCACACTTTGCTCCAAGATGTCGCTGCACGGTGCAAGTAGCCAGCCACGTGTGCTTTAGCAAATAGCTCTCTTTATATCGCGACCGAACGGCTGGCTGACTGTCCAGGCGCGGCTGCAAGGATTTGGAAAAAGGGGCGACAATTAATTTTGTCCATCTCGCTGTGGTGGGACGGATGCGCCTGTTCACAGTGGAGGAGGCCCCTCGGAGCAAGCAAAGTGAAGACGCCGCGAAGGCCCCTGCTGTCGGTCAGCGGCGATCGCGGCAGATATGCGGCGTGCTGTGGCCGGCGGCGTCAGCTGACAGCTACACGCGCGCCACCGCGGCGGCGCTACGGCGCGACACGGCAGGTCTCCCCATCTGGGTGGTCATTCGGGAATCTAGAGGTGCAGGATGCGGGACCGCGTGCCGGCTGCGGTGGAGGGTGCGGTACCGGCCCGAGTATTCGAGCCGGCGCGATGCGGTCGGTGCGGAGCCAGCGCGGGCGGTGCTGGAGCGGTGGTGCTCGCACAGGCAGTGCCGAGCCTTTCCCGGCACCAGAAAACATCCGATCTGATGGCACCAGCGTGTGCACCCGCCAAATGTCGTCAGGCCCGCATCCGGGCACCTGTAGCCGATCGGCGTCACGCTACCGTCGCGGCGTCGGGTTTGTGAACTCTGCAGCTCTATTGGAACCGGTCCGCCCCCCCCCCCCTCCGGCCCGGACGTTCGGACCGGTTGACCGTCACCGCCGGTGTTGTAAGGGGGCGGTTGTCACAGGAGGCGCCTGGGCCTGCCCGGCTAATCCGCCTCATTGGGAATCTTGGGCGACGGCAGCGTCGGGCGCGTGACTTCCCGCAGTGCGGTGCGGGATTTTGACACGTGTCTTCCCTGCGCCGCCCATCTCTACCGCTCCGGTGCCCCCCCCCCCCCCCCCCGTGCGATGCCCACGTCCATCTGGGTCCGGCTGTGCCTTGTCCGCGCTGTCTCGCGCGTTCCTGTCCTGTCAGCGGCGCCGGAGAGGAGAGCAACTCCGCCCTGGAGGCTGACGAGACATGTGTTCACGAGCCTCTCCCTTTCAGGTGTCTCCTATTTTGTCCAGAGTGGGGGCTCACCTCTGCCCAACCTCGCGACAAATGCAATTCACACGTTCCTTTTCCTGTCACTGTGCTATTCGTATTCTGGTATGGCTGGCATTTCCATTTTCGGTAGTGAAATCGGCTCGCGTGATCGCCGCGTCTTTGACCCTTTCTCACATCCGACACAATCGTCGGATCGCCTCAGGCTTTGGCGGGGCAGGTCAAGCGCAGTGTCAAGGTCAAGGTCAGGTCAAGCGCGATGTCACCGTCAGGGCCGCGCCGTCGTGCCTAGGGGAAGGGGGGGGGGACGCCGTCGCGCCTGTTGCCAGCCTCCGCCAGCCTTGGCTTTCGGGCACGAACACCTGCGTGTGTGTGTGTATGTGACACTTTCGGTAAAAAGGTGGCAAAATCCACCCGTAGACAGCCGGCTTGCAGTGGTAGGTAGCTGGGCCGTTTCGAAGGGTATGCGCTTCAAAAGATTTTGTAGAATTTTTTGGTGGGTATCTTCGCCATTCAAAAGCAGTTAATGCATTGCACCTAAAAATTGGAATAGCACTTCGTTGGTTTATAGGGTTGAAACCAGGATATTCTTAGCCTTCTTAGGGGGGGGGGGGGGGCACAGCAAGCAGTTATCATAAGAGAAACGAAGGAGCCATATATGGTGGTATATGGAATGCCGTGGTCAATATGGTGTCACACAGTAAATTAAAAATGTCGGCCTACAGTGGGAGCCCCAGTCCTTTCATGCTTCTTCTCCATCGTCCTAGAATCAATTAAGCTTTTAATTTCACAGCATCCATTTTGTTCAGAAAGGCATGAGGGTATTTTTATCGCTGCAACTTCGCTCAACCCCCCTCACCTCCTTCCCTCCCCTGCCACGCTGGCGCCTGAACTCCTGTGGGTGGTGGCGCCAGCCGCGCGTCTGTCTGGCTGGCTTTCTGATCGCCGTTAGCCAGGTGCGCGCGCTCCCCGCCCGCCCGCCAGACAGACGGCAGCAGCAGCAGAAGCTTGCAGCAACACGCCGCCGGTCTGTACGGCGGCTCACATGTGGCCCGCGCCCCGCGAGCGTACCCGTAGTACCGCCTCCGGGTGGGTGGCGCCCGCCTCACACTGGCCCGCGCTCAGTAGCTGCACATAACCCGGCCGCCACCAGCTGCCCATAGCGCACGCCGGTAGCGCCGGCTCGCGGCCGCCGCCGGCCGGCGCCGCGACGCCGCGTTAACGAAGGCGCACACGCGCGCCGCCTGCGCCGCATCTGCCGCTGGCGCGCGCTACAGCCGCACACCTGCGTCACATTTGCCGTCGTCGCCGCCGCCGCCGCTGGCCGCCGTATTCTGGGCGTTCAGAACCGTGTCGAATTCCGGGAACCCGGCCTGGGCCGGCCGGCCGGCCCGCCCGCCCAGGCCGGCTGTGAGCACAGAGGTCACCCGGTGTTGGCCCCGCTGCCCCCCCCCCCCCCCCCACCCCGGTGGCATTGGTTGCGCGAGCTCCATTGCGAGAACGTGATCGTAGGCAGTGCTTTCAACACACAGACGCTCAGCGTGGTCTTAACGGGGATCTATTTGACTGTGGTTGCTGTATATTTTGGTGGAAGTTGGGTTTTGTAGTCATGGGGTTTTACAGCATCAGTCTAAAGCGAGGCTAAAACGACCGCACGTTTTAGAGTGCGAGAAGGGGAACTCATTCATGCCCACGAAGGGAAGCTGATTTGACGATAGGATATACATATTTTTTTCTGTGTGACCACGCATGTTCTCTCTCTCTCTCTCTCTCTCTCTCTCTCTCTCTCCTCTCTCTCTCTCTCTCTCTCTCTCTCTCTCTCTCTCTCTCTCTCTCTCTCTCTCTCTCCTCTCTCTCTCTCTCTCT